AGAAACTCTCCTCGTCTTCTTCAAGACTAGTTGCCACACGGGATGTAGTCCTTGCTTCCTGATGGCTGGTCTCATTTCACTGAGTCTCTTGAAGTATCCCACTTCACTACTCTAGCTAGTTTGAGACGTCCCTTCTTTTGCAAGAAGTGTTTTGCGTGAAAGACAGTTTTCTCCAATGTTGCTTCATCACAAAGGATGTGTAGATGAGGCTTTTGAAGTGTTGAAGAACTGGAGGAACGATTCTCTCACGTTGGAAAGAAAAGATATGAAGTTTATAATCTTTTCCAACGTTAAGTTTTGTTGCTCTTGATGAATGGAGGTTATAGTCTTTGAGCGTTTGAATATTAGCATTTAGAGAGATAGTTTCAATCGTTGTTCGTTCCTTTGAGTTCCAGTCCTTCGAAGTGTAGCTAAGATTTCCAACACAGTTGATGAGCTACAATGGTCTGATACCAAGACTAAGGAGCAACTGCAAGACATAGAGGATCTCTGCAATACTCATAAGCAGTAGGCCTTATCCTTAATACAAGTGGACAAGGAAAGGTACCAGAAGATGGTACTTCTTGAGGCAAATACCATAGATGTCGCCTCAGCTGTCCAAAAACAACAAAGCTTGATTGAAGGTCTTGCTTCTGTCACCCAAACTCTCCCAAAAGCTCTTGAGGAGATTAAGGACACTCAAGCCTCAGATTTAATAGTACAATTTTTGGAGAAGAACAAAGGAAAGAGACATGGGCGGCAAGAGAAAGGGGGACATTAAGCAAGTCTGAGGAGTCGATTCTTTGGGCTGATTCACTTAACCTGGTGACATGTTGTATTTCTGGAAATTATCTGTTGTGTTGCTGGTTTTATGGTTTAGAATTTATGTGTTTTTGTCACATGTTGTTGAAGGTTGATGTACATTGTTGTTATGATCACGAAGCATCTCGACGCTTTTGCTGTTTTTTCATGATGGTTGGACTAACTTATTTCTGTCTAAGTGGCGGCATTAGCCTAAATCTGGAACAGATTTTTAATGGGTTGGAAAGTGGGATTTTCAGGTTGCGGCCTATTAGCTGTTTGTGAGGAATTATATTTAGGTTAGATTAGTCTAACTTAGATAGACACTTTGATTGGACTTGATACATTGTAATATGTTATTTTTGGGTGTTTAATATATTTTTACATTTCATCCAAAAAAATCAACATATATTTGTACTAAAAGAATATGATTAGCAACAGAGATTTGAAATAAGGTTTTGTCAACCTTTCCCTTAGTAAACCAATGGTTCACTAGGAATAAGGACAAAGTGTCATACCATGCTCTGGGAGCTTGCTTAAGACCATAAAGGGTCTTTCTAATCTTGTAGACACAAGAAGATTGAGTAGGAGTGATAAAACCTGGTGGTTGTTCCACATAAACTTCCTCTTCAAAATCTCCATTCAGAAATGCACTCTTGATATCAATCTGGTAGACCTTGATGTTGTTGTAAGCAACATAGGCTAGGAAGATTCTAATGGCTTCAAGTCTGGCAACTGGTGCAAAGGTCTCATCAAAATCAATTCCTTCCTCTTCACAGTATCCCTTAGCTACCAGCCTTGCTTTATTCCTTACAATAGTTCCTTCTTCATCAGCTTTGTTCTTTAATACCCACTTGGTTCCAATAACATTCTGGTTCTTAGGCCTAGAAACAAGTTCCCACACTTTGTTTCTTTCAAACTGTGTAAGCTCTTCTTGCATTGCATTGATCCAATCTGAATCTTGTAGAGCTTCTTCCACAGTCATAGGTTCCATATGGGAAATGTAACAAGCAAACATTGCTTGTCTTCTGGTAGTAGCAGATCTGGTCTGTACACCATTTCTGATCTTGTCAATCACTTGGTTTGGTGGGTGATCTCTCAACCAAGTTAGATCAGGTTCTGATAGACGTTGTCTGGGTCTCTATTGTTCAGCTTCTGATTCCTCATCACTACCTTTGTAATGAAGAATTGGGTTCTGAATGTGAGTTGGTAGAACGGAGTTGGTAACCTCTTCTGGTGTGACCAGTTCTGGTGCTTCAGCTTGGACTTCTTCAAGGTTGATTTTCATCAGGTTCTCTGTTATATTGTCAGCTGAAGTGTGATCGTAAAACTTGACATGAATTGATTCTTCAACAAGTAGAGTCCTCTTGTTCAGTACTTTGTAGGCTTTGCTTGTGCTAGAGTAGCCTATGAATGTTCCTTCATTGGCTTTCTCCTGGAACACTTTAAGATGTTCCTTTCCATTGTTGAGAATGTAGCACTTGCATCCAAAGGCATGAAAATAGCCGATGTTGGGTTTTCTTCCTTTCCAGAGCTCATAGGGGTTCTTCTCATGAGCTTTGTGAATCATGCTCTGGTTCTGGGTGTAGCATGCAGTATTAGTTGCTTCTGCCCAATATCTGAGACGTAGACCAGATTCAGCAATCATGGTCCTTGCAGCTTCTGTAAGAGTTCTGTTTCTTCTTTCTGCAACTCCATTCTGTTAAGGAGTTCTGGCAGCAAAGAGTTGGTGCATGTTGCCATTTTGGTCACAGAAATCCTTAATGACCTGGTTGACAAACTCTATTCCCCTGTCTGATATGATGGTTTTGACCTTCAGGTTATGTTCATTCTGTAGTAGCTTCAACAGAGAGGGCAGCTTCTGTAGAGTTTCATTCTTCTTTTTCAAGAAGATTGTCCATGTATATCTTGAATAGTCATCCACCATGACTAGAGTGTATCTATCCCTTAATAAGATAACTCTCTGCCTCTCTGCTTGAACGACACTATTCTTCCTATATCTGTGTTTGATTTCTGCTAACTTCTTTTGCTATATCTGTTTGTGTTATTTGTGCTCTAAATTATTGTGTTTTATCTTGAATGTATCTTACTCTTACTATTTTTCTATGCCAAGTTTCCCACCAAGAATTTTAATGAAAGGTTTTGAACTTTATTTCTTTTATGATGAAAGGCACTTCTCTGGAAATAGTTAAAGGGTTTTGGCATCATCAAAAAGGGGGAAATTGTAAGGAATATTTGTAACTAGATTTTGATGATGCTATATTAATTAGGACTTTAGAGTACCCCGCTTTAGAAAATTGTATTAGAAATTTTCCTTGTTTAATGTTTTTCTTAGTATAGTCGACTGACAGAAGACCTCCAGACAGAAGCTGGTTTGACCCTCTGGTGAACCTCTATCCTGACAGAAGACCTTCTAGTTCTCTGTTGGACTTCACCACAATATGAGTTACAAAAGGTCCTCTGTTGGCCTCTATCTTGACGGAGGGACTAAGGACCCTCTGGTAGCTTATTCCAACAGAAGTGCTCGAGACCCTCTCCGGTTGACCCTTTGCTAAAGATACCAGAAGGCCTAACACTTAGATAATTTTCATGAAACTACTTTAGTCGGTGAAACCAACAGAAGATTCCTTCAAGGGCTAGAAGACTTGAACGGAAAAGCTACAGTACGCGCATTAAATGAAAATTTAATGCACCCCGTACGTCGAAGAGTAAATGCAGATGATTGGCCGAAATGTCATGATAACTTTATCCCAAAATAGCAACTCGCCAACTTTACCGGGCCCTACATGTCAAGTCAACTGTATGCGCATTTAATGCAGTTGTCCTCCTCCTCCAACGGGAAGACAACCCCAGTATAAAAGATACTACTCGAAGAACAACAAGACAACTTTGCTCAACTTTGCTAGAACCTTGCTAAAACCTTACAAAAGCCTTCTTGAGATTCAAACTCCATTCATCAACAAGAAAGGCGGACGTTGGAAAGATTATATTTTCACATCTTCACATTCCAATAAGAGCAAAAGTTCCAACTGTTCTTCAACGCTTCAAGCACTTCAACTACACATCATTTGTGACGAAGCAAGTTGGAAAACCCCTGTTCTGACAAGAACTCTTCTTTAAATAGAAGGACGTTCAAGTAACTGGAGTAGTGGAGTGGAGATACTTCAAGGAAGCTCAGTGAAAGAACCAGTCTTAAAGGAAGCAAGGAAATGCATCCCAGGAGACATCTAGGCTTGAAGAAGACGTGGAGAGCTTCTTAAGTGCTAGGACTAAGGCTTTGTAATTGAATTTTTTACAATCTTAGTGGAACAGTGGATTAGAGGAACGAGTTGTTCCTTGAACCACTATAAAAATCCCTGGTGTCATTTACTAACTGCTTTTATTTCTTGTATTTACTTTGAACTGTTTAACTCCAGAGATTTGGTCTCTGTGTTCAGCAGAACCCTTTCTGTGAGTTAACAGAAGGCCTATTGCCTTTGCTTCTCTTAGAGGCTATCCGGACAGAACACCTACCAGAAGACCATCCGCTGCCAGTCTGTTCTGCCAACAGAACAGGCTATTCTGTTAAATCTGGTACTTAGCTTGAAAAAGTTAAAAACTAGTACAATCTATTCACCCCCCTCTAGACTGTATCCAATACAACCGGGACCAACACCTGTCATGTACCTGGAGCATCCACTACCAATAAACCACTCTTGCTCAGGGATAGCTCCAGCCAATGTTCTAAAATTCGCTAGGCACTAGTCGGGCGATCAAGCACCGCCTAGCGCCTAGGTGGACTAGGCGCCGATTAGTCGGCTACAAGGCGGCCAACTCAGTTTCAACATAATACCAAAAAAAATAAACATTATTGGCAAAAATATGACAATAAACAAATAAAGTTTAAAGTTTAAACATAATATACATGTTGCATACTACCTACTATAATATCAGGACTGCTAGGAAACCAAACTGATGTTTGGCAAAAGAGATATTAAAATACGTGCTAGTGAACTCTCATGAATGAGTATTTGTGTGTATGATGTTAAAGGTGTATAGGGAGTATTATGGAGTATTAGAGAGTTATTTATCCATATAACCATGGTTTTGGGTGGAAGAAAGTTAATTTCCTTGAGCAAATCATGTCGCTCAAGTCTTGAAAATGCAGCCACAAGTGTCAGAAGAGGTTAATAGATATGTAGTGCTCTAACAGTAAGGGCATGGTAGGCACACACATGAAAGCTGAATATTACTTCATTCCAACCTTTTTTTATATTACGTATAAACTAAATAACTTCTTGAAAGAACAAGCAAATGAAAACAATTCTTACAAAAAAATCAGTTTATAAAGATATATAACACAGAGAAGAATCCACCTATCAAGTTGCCCTTCTTGAAAGCAAAGCCAATACATAACATAGAACAGAATCAACAGATGCCAATGCGATGATAAACAGACCGACTAGAGCAAGAGTCAGGCTAGCAGTCTTCAGTGTGGTGTGGATGCTTGGCCATTCTATGTAGTTTAGCTGACTTGGCTGTTTCAGCAAGAAATGATAAAACCTTGCTGTTCATCACTATTATCAACACTCAAGTGCAGATAATTTATTGGGGCATATGAGCTGTGATAGAGTAATTTTCTAGAGAGAAGTGAAAGCTAGAGAGAGAAGTGCAATAAATACTTGCAATAAATGATTTGTGAACCCCTACAACTACTCCCAAGAGGAGTATTTATAGAGAAAATGCGGGCTGGGCTCCCAAGTCTTGGGCTTGGGAGGCCCATTTACAATTGGACAACTACTGGGCCGAGTACAAAGTATGTAGAAATGATTAAGTATGAAATCCGATTCTGGGAGCTCTTTGTGGCCGACGAGGGGCTGGCCGACGGAGCCACGGCCGACGGGGACGCCCGGTTCTTCTGGTTTCTGGACCATGTTCTGAGTTGATATCTTTCTGGTCGATGGAGGGCCATCTGGCCGACGAAGGCCCCACTGAGTGATAGTTGTGCCTCTTGTTCTTCTGAGTATGTGGATCCTGGGATCTAGACCCATATACTCCATCAAGCTGCATTTGACATCATGACTTGCTCCTAAAGTATTCTCAATCCTTAAGGTAGTTATATTCTTAGGCATCACCAGAACAGAGGGATGCTCTCTGGGTTTGAACCTATTAGAGCAATGAAACAGAACCGAATAATTTTTGATAACTTTGAACTGAAAATGACCTGAAAGGCTGAAGTTGCAGCTAGCAATAGACGCCGCCATCTATATAATCTAAGGCCCAACACGATAAAAAGAAAATCAATTTCTATGGTGGAACATAATAAAGCTCATAAACTGTGAATGGGATTGTTAGCCGTTAACAGAGAAGTCGAGCAAAGCAGAGTAGAAGTAATCGTGTCCTACTTCATTCCAACTACAATGGTGGCATTATATGACTGTCATTTTGCCATTAAATACATCTCCAAGCTTGTACGCAGAGATGTATAATTGTCAATTTATAACAATGTCAATGACTGTCATATTAAAAACAAATGGAGTGCAGACTCCATATATAATTCACTCAAAAGGAAAAATAATTTTTTACCACAGTTGATATTAAGAGCAATGTATGAGTTTACATCTAAAGAAGAAAAAATATATTGTTTTTTATGTAACAATATTTTTACTAACACAATATTATAAAGTACTTCTTTGTTTCCAAATTAGTTATTCTGCACAGGACTAAATAAGTTTAATCGAGACTACAATTCATTCTTTTTGTGGACGAGGTCAAAGATGATAGCAGTAAACAATGTGCATTATCATCACTTTAATCTCAACTAATTTCAATTGGTGCATGTAGAATTAATCATTTTTTCTAAAATTAGTTACCACAGTAATTCATACGGAAAGCATGGTGACAAAATTTTAGATAACCAGTCTGTCACAATGCTCTTACAAAAAAACATTGAGATAATATTCCAAACGAGTCATCATTATAAGTTATTTCATTCTACATTGAAATAAATTACTAGTTAAAGTTTGCTTTGCTTCCTTGAGAAATTTAATCAAACACCATAGATGCATTCCAAGTTCCTATCAATATTAGGCTATAAATTTCTCAGTCTATAAGTCAATCTTGTTGCTCATGTAGATACATACGATTTACATACAAAGTTACAAGCTATCACAACTAAGTATCATGTCTCTTTTTCTTTTCTTTTTTGAACCAAAAGGAAACTCGTGTTCATGAATAATAGAAGAAATCCATTGGAAAATTGTCAAGGTTCTATAAGAGTTTAAGGGTGAAAGTTAGGATGGTCATTATAACAAAACGGACTGATACAGTTTTCATTTTCAAAACATACCTAATCTTGAGAGGTTTGAATAATCTTGAAGAAAATCCGGAAGTGGAAGAGAAGATGACTCAGCACTCTTGACTATGGTATATGGTGGCCGTTCCATCGCAGAGAAGAAAGCTTTGTATTAGGTCGATGAAAGCCACCCCAGTTTTGTGGATTGAGAAAAGGGAAGAAAGCACCATCCTCGTCATCTGGGCAGCAAAAGAAGTCAAAAACGAAACTTTTTTTAGAAAGCTTTGGAGCGAGCAACATCTAGACTAAGCGGCCGATTTTAAGGTCTGTGCAAGCGATTTTTCGATCACGGCGGGCGATTACTCAGAGAGCGACTACAGAGCCGAAAAAAAAGGAAATCAGTATGGGAGCAGTCCACGTAGCGAGTTTCGGCCGGCTAGGCGGGCGATTTATCCGACTTTTAGAACCATGGCTCCAGCACACAGTTCCTGCAAAATTAAAAGGAAGATTTAGGTACCCAAGCAATGTTGGGTCCTAGGGGTCATGTAGTCTTGGCAGCCAGTACCACTTTGGTCTCATCAAGTGAAACCTTGGTGAGTGGTACCCATTGTCCACATGGTAGTCATAGTAAATAGAAGTGTGATTCACTTTGGGCAGATGCTTGTGAGGATCATGCTTCCTGTTTACATACTTCAGCATAGCTTTTCTGGTTGGAAAGAAGTCCTATATAATATCAAGAGCAGAGGGGCAGTTAGCTTTGAGCTTCTGAGGTTGACCAGACAACCTCCTCTGTCTGGGAGTAACCTTCTCTTGATACCTGCCCTTCTGGTGATCATTTCTGACATGGTTGTCATGAGATTGTCTGTAGGTGTTCTGTCTTTGATTTTTATTATTTTGAAAACCTTTTCCGATGTTAGGTTTTCTGCCAGGTTCATTTGTTTTCAAAACTTGTTTTGGTTGGACCTTTATATTTTGTTTCGCTGGTCTGACTTTCTCATGAGCTGCCATGGTGCCACATACACCAGCATGGCAAATGGGGCTAGAGATCAGTGGCACTATGACCTTATCTGCCTTAGCAACTCTGGTGCGAGACTTTACAGAAGGCTCACCTGATTCTGTTGAGCCATATCCAAGACCAAAACCAATGCCAACTTGTTGGTCAAGTACTAACCCTTCAATTGAAGATTGGGCCTTCTGGTAAGTGTTGTACTTGATTTCAAGTGACTCTATTTTTCTTACTCTCTTTAGAAGAGAAACATTTTCACCTTCTAGCTGATCTCTTTCCTTAATAAGAAGGTTGATTTTGATCTCAACCTCCCTTTTTAAGTAAAGGATTTCAGCTTTCAGCTTACTGTTTTCTTCTTTAACAGAAGAGTAAGTGGTTTGGATGGCTTTAAACTCTTCCCAAAATTCTGTCATTGAATCAGAATTAAAATCTTTGCCTACCGAAGAAAAACTAGAGGTAGAAGTAGAGCTTACCTCATCATCAGACTGACCCATAAGGCATAGATCTTCGGTCTCTGTATCTAAGCAACAGAATGCCTCATCGGATTCTGATTCAAAGCTGGATTCTGTTTCATAGAGGGGGTCCTTCTCTGGTTGCTCAGAGATAAGAGCTTTCCTCCTTCTGTTCTCATACTTCTTCTCTCCTTCATGTCCTTGTCTCTTGGACACTATGTGTCACGCCCCGGACCTAGCCGGACACGTCAACAACCCGCCGTACAGTACGAATAGTCAACCGCAGTCCAACTCATCCATACTATACAAGGCGTCATGAATATCATTCACACATAGTACATCCATAAACAAACATAATGTAAAACATGCATTTAAAACAGCGGAAGCATTAATACAATTGTTCAAGCCACACTTGGCATAACTAGGCATGCAAGCCCCCAAAGTAATTATTCAGAAAATATTATCCATGAGCATTAATGTAATTGTTTTTAAAACAGAACGGGAGAAGCACGAACCACGTCTTCTTCCCTTGATTCCTCCCGAAGCAACGGGCAATGGCAGCGACCTTCAAGTTCTACCTGAAACTGTGAGGTGGCCTCCCCCGTGAAGGGGAGGTCAGTACTTGGAAATATTTGACAAGTACAATAGCAACTATACTAAGTATAATCAACGTTTTAATTTCCAAGACCCTCAACTTAGGGTACTATTATATTATAGGCCATAACCCTCGGTTACCCCTCTTTCTTTTAACTGTACTTACTTTACATAAAGTCAAGTAGTCAGCCCGTAGGCCCATACTCATTTAGAATTCATCTTTTCCATTCCCCCGTGACCGCGAGTCACGATAACCCCGTGGGGTCCCATCGAGCCCCAATTGTATAGCATGGGCTCGGCCCAACTACATCTCTATACAATCCTCTAGCTCAATATATCATATCAAAATTTGTATGGCAAGGGCTCGGCCCAACTACGTTTCCATACCAACCATAACTTCGTGGCAAGGGCTCAGCCCAACTACGTTTCCACGGAGGTCACATATACGTGGCAAGGGCTCGGCCCAACTACGTTTCCATGCTAATAATATTACATGGCATGGGCTCGGCCCAACTACATCTCCATGTCATCCTAGAGTCCAACTCTAATTATTCTCATAATCAAATTCTCAAGCAAGCCCTATGCCTAGAATCAATTCCCGTAGGTGGCCTTTAGGCCTATCCCTATCACACCTTAGTGTTCATACCATTCATCCTTAAGTATCTCTTGAGACTACTTAAGGCATATCTATTCACAATCCTACCTCTTAGGATTTGTTTCATCATTTATTTATATTAATTCCCCGACTAGTATTTTGATACTAATTGGATAACCTTAGAACATGCCAAGTTCCTATTTCCCAATTTGCATTTCATTTCCATTGATTTCTCAACCCAAATATAGTTTAATCTCAATATCAAAAATATCACTTTAATCCATTCATGAATTTCATACATGTAGTAAAGTATATTTTATCACGATGTCATCATAGTAATTTCATTAACATGCCGTTCCATTCATTTCGCATAATCATACACAATTATTCTAAATTTGTATATCATGCTTCACTTACTCATTTCCATATTATTTTCATTTAGGCATTATTAGTCATTAATAATCCATGAAAATCCCATCTAATCACTTTAGGCATTCTTATGAAATTAACTCACTAATTATAAGCAATATAGTCAGCCATCCTCACCTCGTGATGTGCTACAATAGTTGCCTTTGTTAAGCCCCTCGATCAATCCCCGTTCTAGGCCGATTGAAAGTGAAAAGCTGGATTTCTGGGCCAAAGCCGGGCGGCTTTCACGAAAGCCGGGCGGCTTTCGTAGTCTGCAACTACGAACAGCTCCCTATATGTGGCGGTTTCCGGCGATTTCGACTCCTATCGATTCACCAACTCTTCTAAGTTAATTAACACCACTTTATAACAATATTATACACTTTTAGACGTGTAGAACTCATGGTTTAATCCACCATATGATTTCTCAAAAATCATACACAAAAAACTAGTTACAAGATTGTTTGTTGAGTTCTTACCTCAAGAACAACCCTCTTCTCTTTGGATTCTCTTCCTTGCTGCTTGCACTAGGAGAGGAGACTTCCCTGGAGCTTCTCTCTCTTCTTTGGTCGAGTGAATGGTGTCAAATGGAAGGGGGGAGGTATCTATCCTCACCCAAGCCAAAAACAATGAAGAGGTATGGCCAAGGGAGTGGTTGGTTGTCTCCAGCCATCCCTTCATGCACAGCCCATGTTTATTTGACTCACTCAGCTCCCAATGTGTCAATTAGATCACACAAAATCGTGGGGTGGCCCTCACTCATGTGGGTGGTCATCCCATTACGTCCCGGTGTGTATAATCGGCCCCGAAAGTTGTATTTCTCGGACTGCTTTAGTCATTTTTTATTTTATCGGGCCGGATAAAATATATCACGCGTTCCCAACAATTTTGGGCCTTTAGAATGGATGTACTATCCCCAACATTAATTTAGGAGTCTCCGAAACTCATTTCCGGCTATTACCCGCTAAATTACCAATACCGGTAATTGGGCCCCGTTTGACCAACCGGTCAACTCTATGCCTTTCTTATGGCCCAAATAAAGTATCCACCACCATATAGGTGTCATCTAGACCAAGATGAATATAACATGTGGTTCGGGAATTATCGGGCGGTCCCCGTTCCCGCTGTGGGCCCCACATGCAATTTACTATTCACGTAAAAGAAATAATAAAAATTTACAATTACGCAAATTCATAAATCATCATTCAAGGTTTATTACATAATTTACTAAAAGTAAATATGCTCGGGTTCGGTGTTACAAGTTCACCCCCCCTTAACGGGAATTTCGTCCCCGAAATTCACAATCGATTATTCAAACAGAAATGCGTACTGCTCCTTCATCGATGCTTCAGTCTCCCAAGTTTCTTCTTCAACTCGGTCACTTTTCCAAAGGATTTTAACCATTGGAACTTTCTTGCTTCTTAGCTTCTTTACTTGTCTATCAAGTATCTTTACCGGTTGCACGGCGTAGTTCAGGTCTTCCCGTATTTCCACGGGTGGTTTCTCTAGTACGTGAGATGGATCCGGAATATACGTCTTAAGCATAGATACATGGAATACATTATGTATTTTTTTCAATTCCGGAGTCAATTGTAATCGGTATGCTACGGCCCCAATGCTCTCAAGAATTACAAATGGCCCTATGTAGCGTGGGTTGAGTTTCCCTCGGCTCTGAAATCGGATGATTCCTTTCCAAGGTGAAACTTTCAAAAATACCTCATCCCCAACCTTAAACTCTAAGGCTCTTCGGCGCTTATCGGCATAGCTCTTCTGTCTATCCTGTGCCGCCTTAAGTCTGTCACGAATCGTCTTTACCTTCGACTTGGTGATTTCCACCAGTTCCGTGCTGTCGAGTTTGGCCATGCCAACCTCACCCCAACACAAAGGTGTACGACATCTCCTCCCATACAATGCCTCGTATGGAGGCATGCCTATACTCGCCTGATAACTGTTGTTATAGGCAAACTCCACAAGTGCCAAATGGTTGTCCCAACTCCCTTGGAACTCCAATGCACAAGCTCTCAGCATATCCTCTAATATCTGTATAACCCACTCGGATTGTCCATCCGTTTGCGGATGGAAAGCTGTACTGAATTTCAGTTTTGTCCCCAAAGATTCTTGGAACTTCGGCCAAAATCGTGATGTGAATCGCGGATCTCTATCGGATACAATGGTTATAGGAACCCCATGCAGCCTCACGATCTCATCCACATACAACTTGGCTAACCTTTCCAGTGCATAGGTGGTGTTGATAGGTAGAAAGTGTGCACTCTTTGTGAGCCTATCGACCACAACCCATACGGCATCATAGTTCTTAATCGTCCGTGGCAGCCCCACCACGAAATCCATAGTCACGTGCTCCCACTTCCATTCAGGAATGGAA